GCAGGCGAACCGAAATATCCCTGGGAATAGATCATGACTGTATGTTGTCATCCATCCTAGATGAATGCTAACTGCTCCTGTCCTTCCTGCGCGATGGGAAGGAATACATTCACCAGGTCAATAGCTGCATCCCCCATACCTGAGGCTGTGATGATCTGCTCTGGCACGAAGAGCACGTCTGATGAAGCAGCTGTAGTTGGAGCCATTACTTGGTTAAGTTTCTGATTGTTCAGTGTCACCTGCCATGATCCATCTGGTTTTGCAAGAACCAGACTGGTGATTATGATGAAGGCCACTACCTTTGCATCACATCGGTCATTTAGTGTAGCACTTACATCTGTCATTCTTTCTGGGACACCATACTGCTTTTGATTAACTATCTGATATGGGAAGGCAGTTTCAGGGGCTTCCACTTAGCTTTTCCTACTGCAATAGCTTTTACTCCACAAGTCAAGAAACCAGTATGAGGATTCTGCCAGCTTAGTATGTTCTTACCTATTATACACCAAGGAAATTGGGAAGTGACCTATGGTTGATTGGTCTGTGGACCCAGGAGACCCACCATGAGATGAACAGAGCCATGGCTCCATTTATTACTAGCCCCATAAAGCCTTCCTCTAGAAGGGATTGTATTATAGTGCACGAATCAACATCAACCTAGACCTGTAACCAACAGCTTTTGAACAAGCTGGATATAACCTATTTCCAAGGAAATGGTTACCCAAGTAAATGTCTATAAATCCTTTTAAGGAAAAAAAGAGGAATACCTACCATTTACGCTTGCCTCAGTGGTGCAGAATGCTTTCTCATTGGGGCTTATGTCTGAAAACTTGTTCATGCTTGGAACCTGAGCAGTAGATTGTGAGTTTCCACTGGGACTGTGGCCTTCTGTTCTCTTCATTCTGGTTCCCTGTTCCCTTCTGATGCCATATTTATAGAGAAATGGCTGCTTTGTATATAAGGGTAAAAAAATAAGGGCTAAAAAGATACAATCCCTGACCTCTTGGAAATTTTTTCTTCCACCTTGCTATGATCTGAATGTTTGTGTCTCCCCAAAACTGATAGATTGAAATCCTAACCCCTAAAGTGATGGCATCAGGAGGTGAACCTTTGAGAGGTGATTAAGTGTGGAATTAGGGCCATTATAAAAGAGATTACAGACAGCTAGCCATCCACTTCCACCATGTGAAGTGGAAAGATGCTGTCTATGAACCAAAAAGCAGGCCTTCCTTCACCTGACTTCTAATCCACCTTGGTCTTGGACTTCCCAGGCACCAAAATTGTGAGAGATAAATGTCTATTGCTTAAAAGCTACCTAGTGTGTGGTATTTTGTTTAAGCAGCCTGAAGGGACTACGACAGCCTTCTCTTAACATCACAGGCTGAAATACCAGAATATGAGATGGAGAAAGTTGTGGATTCTCAGCAGCTGACATATTTGAAAGCAAAACTGACAACTATAATAATGGTTAACATCAAGGAATCACCATGTTTTCTAAGTGCATTACCTATATTATTTAATGTAATTCTCACAACCCTATGAGGAAGGTCTCCTCATTTTGTGGATGGGAAACTCATTCTTAGAGAAGTGGGCAAACTTTAAATTGCCTCCCTAAAGCTATTTATTGTCAAACAAATAAGAGAAGAATCCACAGCAAGAAGGGGGTTCCAGCCGGTTGGAATTTTGACCAGAGGAGGTCAAATTTGACAGATCTCCCTTTTTTTTATTTTCAAATAATTTTTTTAATATTTATTTTTTCTTTTCTCTTTATATCCTAAGCATTCAAGTGAAAGGAAAGATCTCCCTTAATCTGCAAGCAGAGAGTGCCCATCTAAAAACATTTTTCTCTATGATTCAATCCAACCTAATTCAATGCCAAGGAGCTCAAAACTCTAAAAATTAAGTCACCTAATTCAGCTGTCATCCATTGGTAACAGCTACCATATACTGAGCCCTAAAGAAAACCACCATGCTGTCCTGAGGGTGCTTTTATGCTCTGAACAGGTAACCAGCCACAGAGGGCTCCATGGCCAGACCATGCAGAGTTTCCCAAATCACTGGCCTCAATCGTTAATGAATCATGACAACACTTCAGTAGGTTCTGACTAGCATTTAAAAGAATAAAATATTGATAGAACATAATTAAAGAGAATATTATAGAATAAGAAATACCAGATTGCACCTCTTGGAGTAAGAATAAATAGGGTTTTTGTGAAATGTTGTTATAATACTTCAGATGAAGTAAAATATATTTCTTATTGTGGGCTGAAAAAAAGATTTGAAAAAAGCTTGAAAAAGACCACATAAAACATATGTAAAAACATACTAACACACAAACAAAAGAGGGCAGCCTCGGACCAACGGGCAAAGAGGCACCAAGTTGCATTTTGTGAGAAAAAAAAATTGAGTGACTAAAACGAAAGTTCATTCCTTGGCTATCTGAGACTAATATATTAATAATTATAAATGTTTCCGTATCCTGTGAGGTCATATTAATTTTTAAAAATGTAGATAACATTACATTAGCATCCAAAACAACAAGAGCTTAACCCATTTAAACTTTCCATGACCACACCCTGTGTCAGGGACATCCAATAGAAACAGGTGTTTGTGAGTGTCCGGAGTCACTGCATGTCACCCGTTCACATGCACTGAGCACTCACTTCTCCACAAAGTGGGTCTGAGGAAGTGGTTTTTGTGCACAGGCCCGAGCAAACAAGGGCACCTGCACGGTGAGGACCTGCGTGCGAGCCTGGGCTTGAGGTCATTGCCACGGCCACTTAAAGGAAGGCTTTTGAGATTGCAGATGTCGATTTTTGTTCCCACTTGACACCATTTTTGTTTGCTACTTATGTCGGCCTCCTGGAAATCCAGGGTTTCTTCCTTAGCTATCCACTCCACAACATAAAGTCGCCTGACTCGAGACTTATTGCACTCTGGGTCAAAAAATATATATAAAATGGAAAGGAGGAAATGTATAAGTTTTCAAAACACTTTTCACTCAGGAAGGGCACGCTTCATATTGAAACAGCACCTTCCTTCCCAAATGGTTCCAAGAGCTTCACCCTGCTCACCCCTGCCTCCCATATAGAAAGCCCCAGCAAGCATTTTGGTTCTGGACACTTGGGAGGTCCCAGATCCTAAAATAGGGCTGGGTTGGGTACAGCCTGGAGAAGAAGGATATTCACGCTTCTATCCACCCCTGAAATGCTGCAGTTCCAAAATCACACAGCATGTCAATAGCAGGCAATTTTATGCTTGATTCATAAACCAAAACTGAGCTGCTGGAACATCAAGAGCTCAACTCCTACTGAGTGACCAGAAGCCTGGTCAGAACTGATCCAAAGAGGGGGCATTGGAAAAACAGTCCAGGAGTTTGACCCAGAACTTTCCGGTGCTGTGTCCTCACCCAGAAGGTTCTTCCCTCCTATGCTGTACTGCCCTGGTTTCTTCTCGGCCTCAAGCCTCTGCACAAATGTCACCCTGTCGGAAAACCCTTCCCTGGCCACCCTGCCTGAGCCAGGTCCCTCAATCAACGCTCTCTCAGTGCATCCTGCTCTTTTCCCTCACGACACTAGCTGTATGGAATAATTATATGCTATATATGCTGATTGGTGTGTTCACCTGCTATATAGTGGCCTCTCTGGGTGACCGAAGCTCTATGACAGCTCTGGGGTTTGCCCTGGACAACCAGCACTTGGCACTCAGAGACAGTGAATGTTCGTTGAAGGATTAAATAAATTATCTTTATAAAATTGCAAGTTCGTTACCTGTTGCTATGGAGCAGGTGTTTTGCTATCAGATTTTGAGGAGGTAATCCTTATTATAAAAATATTAAGTGTTTATGTGAATAAACACCCATGTTCATAGCAGCATTATGCACAATAGACAAAAGGTGGGAACCATACAGAGGACCATCAATGGATGAGCAGATTTTTAGAATGTGATATACACACACGATGGAATATTACTCAGCCCTAACAAGGAAGAAAATCCTGTCACATACTACACCATGGGTGAACCTTAAAGACACTATGCTAAGTGAGACAGGCCAGTCACAAAAAGACAAATACTGTATGATTCTACTCATATGAGGTACCTAGCATAGTGAACTCATAGAGACAGAGAGTAGAATGGTGCTAGGGAAAAGAGGGGAGGAGTTGCTGTTCAATGGGAACAGAGCTACAATTTGGGAAGATGAAAACGTTTTGGAGACGGATGGTGGTGATGGCTGCACAACGATGTGAGTGTATTTAATACCATTGAGCTGTACACTTAAAAATGGCTAAGATAGTAAATTTTATGTTATGTGTATTTTACCACAATTTTTAGAAAATAACATGTTAAAGTATTAAGGGCTTATTACCACAAAAATGCCTGTTTTTGGTGTCATGGCAATATGAGGCATATTTAGTATAAATGTGAACACAGAAATGCTGAAAATATTAATCACATACTAAATGAGAGTTTGCATTCTGGATGTGACTCAGTGGAGCTTTTGCGTTTCCTCTTTTCTGATCAGAGAGGCCCCGTGTGTCATACCACCCACATCCCACCCATGGCAGGTGCTTAGAAATGCTATTTGAATGGATGGCTGGAAAACATTTAACCAGAAAAGCAGAATTTTAAGATGTGTTACACACACTAGTACACATACTTCCGAAAAAGTGTTTCATTCCCCAAAATTAAAAAATCAGAATCTTAAAGGCAAATGTCTTTAGACAGCTATTATTATTGTCCACATTTTACAGGAAAGATAACTGAGGCAGAGAAGGACTAGTGCGTTGCTTAAATGCACGTAGCTAGGGAGTGGCAGCTATGTGCAAACCAGATCCCACGTTCGCAGTGGATAAACTCTACTACTAGCTCTCTGGAAGGAAAGAAGGTAGGAAGGAAGGGAAGGGAAGAGAGGGGAGGGAAAGAAAATAAACTTCAAATTCAGCATCTTAAAACTTACAAGTCAAGTTCTATTCAACTATTTGGCCCCTTTTAATGCCCACCTTTTAATACAGACAACCCAACAGTGGGGCGTCTGGTCTTGCTCCAACCCAAGTTCCGAGTCCTACCAAATGAAATCACCTCTTCTTCCCCAGGTTGCTGTCCTCCTGCTGCTGCCGCAGAGCCTGGCCAGAGGTCCCACAGGCACATTGCTGTGCTCACTCTTCCTGTAGCAACGGAAGGTAACTTCCCTTAGCACTCCAGCTTCCAGAAGGCTGCATTGTTCTCAAATCCCCATTCTGGAGTTTCCAAAGGCCTCATTTCCTCTGGCTATTCTGTCCCCTTCCTTGGTAGGTAAGGGAACAAAAGTGCCTCTTCCATGCTCCTTTGCTCTAGTGCACTGTCTCCTGAGGACCCTAAGGAAACACACTTAGAGTAAGACAACCTACACGTCTACACCAAAGCTGCAACCCTACAGGAGCGCAGCTGGAATTCAGCATGGTGTGGAGCGTGGCGAGGCAGCGGTGGCCATGCCAAAGACCGTGCGCAGGGCCAGTTCTAGACAACGTCAACTCACAGAGCAAAATGCCTCAGATGCACCCAAAAGTATCATCGAATTGGAATTTATTCTGATAAACATGTTTGTATTATCAATGTCCAGTTAAACCAGCTTATTTATGAGGACAGTATTTAGGAAGAGCAGTTTAAAGAGAAAAAGAAAGGGATTTGAGTAGGGGAGGGTCTGTATTGACGAGCACTCTGCTCTCTT